CAATCCCCCTGGGTTTACAACGTAGTACATATCACCACAGCAACTTCACATTTCTTGTAAAAAATTATTGCCTCCCATGAAAGAAATGACTAAATACAGAGTTTCCAACTTTGTTGCTATAGGCAATAGCAGAAGGTTTGTTTTATGTATATTATTCCTCACCCCTCAAAGAATGCGGCCTCCGCTTGAGGGTAAGGATTGCGACATGGTCTTAATACAGCGAGGGGGTTGGAAATTTAAATAAAGAATTGCTCTCAGCTCGTTCCAGTTCAGTGTTTCTCAAAGTGAGTCATTTGAATTGGGTGTTGTAATCCCAGTGAAGGTCAACCAGCGAGTGCCGTGACCTTGAAGGTGGAGGTAGCTGTGGTTGCTCCCCAGCCTCCTAATTACATTGCCGCTGCTGCCGCAGCTCCATTGCATACAAATCTGACAATTTCTCATTTGAAGAAATGTAGTTGAAGAGGAGCAACTGCCCAGTTCCCACATGACTTTTGGTGCCTAGAAGCGTGGGGTTGATCAGCGAGACAGAAGAGAGCCTGAACGCTGTGCAAAGCAGTCAACTCTGGGGCTGGTAGCCTAAGAGCATATAGGTGCAATGGAAGCCCTCAGAGAAATCTTGTCCTAAAAGCTCTCTTCTACTCATTGCGCTTGATAGTTGAGGAGAATTAGGAAGTAAAGCCATTCACAAGAAAATAAGGTGAAACAACTCCTCACTGATTTTGGTAGAAACTGGGTTGTCTTTTTCCTATTTAGTTCTAGAGATTTGAAGGTGTTTTTAAAATTGTTATAAAGTATTTGAACTTTTACATCATTTCTATATTCCCTGTTCTTGTAGGGCAGGGATGGGTTGTCTCTGTCCCTCAGCCCATTTTTGTGGGCCCTCAGGACTTCACCACCAAAGTTTGGTGGCCAGAGGACTCACATGACCCTATTTTCATTAACTGTTCCCTATCACATTTCCTCTCTCCCAAATGAAAAATAAATAACTGAACATTTCAGCAGAGTTCCCCCGAAGGCCAAATTTTTTTTTTTTTAAAAAAAGTAAAAATGTGGCTTCCGGGGGTGGAGGGAACCATTGCTTACCTTTGTTGTGGGGGTCAGGTCAGGGAAAACAAAAGAAATTTGAACCTGGAGGGGGTTATTATAGATGATGAAAATATGAGACTTCCTTGTCAAGCGTGATGACTTCATGGATACCTTTATGTAGAATTCTTTTCTTTGTTTTCTTTTTAACTTTTTATCTATTTAGTTTATACATGCACAATTAACCATACAATCTTTAATTTTAAAGAAAAAAGATTTTTTTTAAAAAAAATTAGGAATACAGACTAAAAATATAAACCAAGAAAGAAAAAAGAAAAAAAATGGTGTGGATTTCTTGGCAACAGAGCAGAAGTGATTTGCCTTTACCATGTTCGTAGTTTTTTTAAAAAATATCTAGCTTACAGACCTGGAATTTTCTAATGGTCTCTCATCCATTTTCCAGCCAAATTTGATCCTGCTTAGTTTTCTGAGAACTTTGGTTAGCTAAGTCTTACCACCTAGCTGAGTGATGGCCTATAATGGTGGGATCCCCCATAGTAGGGTTCCATATAGAGGCTGCAAAACTCCAGACAAGCATTATGAAACAGCAAGAAGTGCAGAAAAATCTAATCCTTGTCTGTTTGTAACTGGTCTGACCAGATATGGTAGCACTGATGAAAGCAGGGCTCAGGGCTGTGGATGGAACTGTTGGACTTAATCCTGGTTTGCTGTAGACTTTAACTACAGTAGTCATTCTTCCTCAGCAGAAACTATTTGACGTGTAAATATAGAGACCTAAATATGGGGTCATCTCTCTATGCAAGGCATTGAGCTTTTAGGAGGACAGTAGAATGTTTGATCTACCAAAGGAAAGCTGTTCTCTTGATAGAATGTCTTTTTTCCAACCTGGTGAATGTTGGAAAGAAATGTTACAAAACTGCTCAGAACTCTGTCTGACCATCCATCTATCTATACCATCTGTCAGAAGACAATCTCTCCCAAAATGGAACAGAACAGGACCAAATTTGGTGTGGCAGGAGAGGCCAAAAAAGGAAAAATCAAATTTGAAAATGTGTTGGTTTGGAGCTGTAAAGAGAGGTGGGGGGAGAACCTTATAGGGGAAGAACTTGGGCAATGGTTCAGAAAGTTGCTGATTGTGCTATTTTAAGTCCTTCCTCCCGCTTCCTTTCTGGTCATGTGACCTAGAGCTAAAGGTGGGAAATAATTCTTTTTTGAAAACTTATTTTTCCATTACTAAACAAACAAACAAACAAACAAAACCCCCTACTTTTCCCCCTTTGGTTTATTTTAAGTAACAAATTTCCTGCCAGGACAAAGGATAAGATAAGGAAAGACACTATCAGAATGATATAAACAGTCCATCTTCCCTTAAGCTGTCAGGGCAGAGAAATATGGATGTTACATTGTGCCATGCTCCCCTGTGCAAACTTTTGCATGACTTCTACCCTCTCTCTTGGAGGGAGGGGATTTCTCTATTTTTACACACTGTGTATCCTATCTGGTATTAAGGTGGATGGACTCAGTTACAGTGGTGATGAGCGCACCGTTGGGAGACTTGAAAGACCAGGTTAAGGATAGATCGTCATGGAGAAAATCTATGTGGTTGCTAGCAGTCAAAAACGCCTCGATGGCACGTAATCAATCAATCAATCAATCAATCAATCAATCAAAACCAATCAACCACCAGGAGGCAGCACACAACCAGGTTCCTTTTTAATGGGAATCGTCAGATGTTCATAGACAGACCTCCTTGTATGGGGTTCATATCCTCTAGCAGACATTGAACTCATGAACCTCTGCCCTTTAGATGACCATGAGCTTCAGGAGCCATCTTGGTCCTGGCACTTAGTGGTTGCAGGAAGAGATATATAGAATCTATCAGCCAGACAGGCGCAATTAAAAACAAAAGGGAGGCATTAAAGCCTGTAGAAGTTTGTTCCAGGTTGAATAAAAACAGTGATGGGGCATGTGAACTACAGTAGCCAATGTATCAGTTTCTCAGGGTCCTTGATAAAGCATTTTTATCCCAAAACTGCCAGGCTGCAAATAAACCTTTCTTGAACAGTCTGAGGACCATCTCTTTTCCATTTCCAGGAAAAAGAATTGGCTTGCTTTCCTTTTGAAGCGATTGTTCCTTTGATCTTTTCCCATTCTCTATGGAAAACAAGAAGACCAAGCTTTCTGAAAGAGTTGTTTTCAACCAACAGAAAAACCCAAACAGGCAGCCAGTGAATTGCTCCTTCCGTATAATGTACATATTCTGCCTCAATGTCTGTGGAGGATATTGTGTTTTGCGCAGTGACTTATTGAGATGTTTCAGCAGATTGCAAGGAGCTACTGTTACACATTTACCAAGCCTTCTAAAACTCAAAGATTTCAGAGAAGTGGATCTCAGTTGCTTAGCAGAGCCATCTGAAGAGAATCTAACTGGCTCAGGACAAAATCTAAGGTCTCCTAGGGGTTGACAAAGGTTTCTATGCATCATGAGTTGAGAAGTAGTCTTTTGAAACTGGAAAAGTGGTGGATGAAATGAGTAGCAAAATTCTTGTAAACCTAGCAAAGATTAAGTTCTGTTTTCCTCCCTTACCCCTTGAATGATGGTCACTTTGACAGGAGCATGAACTCTATTTTGCTCCAGTGTACTTGTTTCTGGCCAAAAAGGGAATCACTGCATTTTCTTGCTTTATGAGCCTTCATCTTGCCGTATTTCCTGTGGTCTTTTGAGAGATGGAGAGGAGAAATCATAGGCATGGTTGTATGTTGGAAATTGTGGGGAGAGGAAGACTCAATAAAGCAGAACCATCTCCATATTGCTGTGCATTGGCTTCATTAAAGAAGGACTCAGAAATATGGCTTCTGCAGAATCCCCAAATTAAATACTTGGAGGAAGGGGGGAGGGAGGATAAAAGCTTAAGAAGATTTTAGTGTTCTCACGCAAATCCTATGAGATTTTTGAGCCGAGAATGGCGAATTATCACGAAGCGACTGACCTTTTGCAAGATCCGATGGTTCAAGGAGTTTTTGTATATACGTGTCGTTTCTTGTGCCATCATCGCTAAGGTTACCTGAAAAGGTTGCCAAAAATCAAACGGGGTCTGGCAGAACCTTTTCAAGCTAACAAATTTTTATTAAAAGGCATCAGCTTTTGTGAGCAACAGCTCACTTCATCAATAAGCCAGTCCAGCATAGAGGAGCTGGACTGATATAGGGTTTGATTATGTTTGATGAAGTGAGCTGTAGCTTACAAAATTGTGTGTCTTTTTAAAAAATGTATTGGTCTGAAAAGCTGCTATCAGACACCTTCTGATTTGAGGCTACCAAGGACTCTCCTCCTACAATGTCTGAAAATGTCCTACAATCTCTGAAAAGACTTAACTTAAAGTCTTGACTTAAAGACTGGAACGTAATAATGTAAGATAGACAGACAGACAGACAGACAGACAGACAGACAGATAGATAGATGACTATATGTTTGTGGAGTCCTTGGGGTTCTCTGAGCTTGGTTGTTTTCTTGCAGACGTTTCATTACCTGGCTAGGTAACATCTTTAGTTCTAGCACAAAACGTCTGCAAGAAAACAGCCAAGCTCAGAGAACCCCAAAGACTCCACAATTCAACCCTGAGTTACATATATTCTCTCCTATTGGGACTATATGTTTGCTCGTTCCAGGTCATTGTCATGACTGTCTCGTTTAGGCCATTCCTTGAGTAAAAACATTATCTGTGTAACAGATCGTGGTATTTTTGAATGTGAGGAAATTCCATCTGAATTGGTGAAGATGTTACATATTGCATTTTACTCCTTGTAAACATTGTACTCCTACTTGTACTTGAGCAAAATGAAGATAACTTGGCATTTTGTGCATTCTGCGCCTACTGTTTTCTTTACATTTATTAAAACTTTGCAAAACTTTTTTGTCTTTACACTAATTCTCTCCCCATGTCTTCCTTCTGCAGCCACGATCTCACCCTCTCTGCCCATCTCCAACGTCTCCTCCTCCATACAAACTTCTTTTGGACAGATGTCACTCTCTTCCGCTTTCTAAGAGCACCCCGATGGGATTGGATCAGCTGGGGTGGAAACAGAAGCTTTTGATCAGCTCAGGCAGTAAGTCCCATGTTAGCTGGACACTCTTAAGGCAGCTTTGGCTTAAGAAGAAGTGGTGAGTGGAAGGGTGGGTGGTGTGGTTGAGCTTCTCAAAGTTGTGCTTGATGTGGAGAAGGTAGCTTTGGACTTCATGAATGAATGCATGTTGGGGGGGGCTAACTCTAGAAGATGGAAGTGCATTTTGGTGGCAGTTCTGCTCAATGTCCATCTGGGGGTACCAGTCTGGAATTGGATATTCTACAGTATCATTCCAAGCTGGTGTACAGTGATGTATGGAATGATTTAAAAAAAAAATCAGGGCAAAGAGTTGCTGATTGATGTCATTGTGAAATAGCCCTGCTTCTTCCACACGTTCTTCATGGTGGCCATCTTGTAAGAGTGCTGATGACAGTTTCTCAAGCTGTGTCCCACTGTCTCAAAATGATAGGAGGATTGCTACCTTTTCTTCAAAGCAAAAAATGGGGCCTGCAAAATAAAATGCAAATTTTGTAGTGTATCCTTATTCTAGTCAATCAGGTGGGTTCTCCTCTAAGATAGGGGCTCAGGCAGAGCACCTCCTCCCCTCCTTCTCCTTTTACTTTTCTATTTGGCATTCCACGTTCTCTGGTTACTTAACGAGCCAAGTCTTCATTGGGTGATTTTGGTCCCCTTAGGCTTTTTGTTGTTGTTGTTAATTTTTATTTTACATTACGTTGCCTTTTACATTATCATCCAGTTCAACTGATACTTTTCTCTTATGTTTACAGTCCTGTTTTGACTGGTAGGGAGAGTTTGGCATCCAAATTTATGGTGAATTTGCACTGAATCAAAGAATCGGTTATCTAAAACGATTCATAAAATCTCAATAGGACATTCTTTAGAGAAATTGTTCCCCATAATAGTAGACATGCAGAATATCTTTTTCCACTTATTCTTCTTTTTTTTTTAAATCTCTTCTTGATCAATTCTCCATCCTCACTGGAATCATCTTATTCTGGAGTGGAATGTATGATGAAATGGGGACAGTTTCTCAGGGATGATCAGACTCCAGTTAGTAGAGAACCAGTTTTATGTAGTGGTTTAGATGCTGGCCTACAAAACAGGAGACTGTGAGCTCTGACTGTGCAACCACCACCACCACCACCACAACAGTCCTGCTAGTACAGTTGTCTTTCTCTGGTTTCTGGGCACCGAAAGAAGCAAAAAATGGGTGGGAATCCATTTCACTTCCAGTCAGCTGATTTCTGCTTGAGGTAACAAGATCATCAATCCTCTCCAACTGAACTTATTAACCTATTTTATATGTTCTGCTGAACTTGCTGCCAATTAATTCCCATTTGACTTATAAATTAATTCTGTAAATAAAATCATGACTCCTATCTTCAGTGATGGATCTGAGAATGGAACTCCTGAAGTCTGGGGCCAGTTGCTTCTCCAGATGGTTGAGCAGAATCAGCCTGGCTGGAGCAGATGGTCCTGTGTTCTGAAACTCAGCAATGAACATGATCTCTTCGTTGCTCTGTTACTCTTCCTGGTTGGCTGCACTACTGTACTTCGGAACTTGAGAGTTTTCAGGCAGAGAAGGACCAGGAGATCACCAAGCAAGTCTGCTCTCCAGGAGACATTTAACTGAAACTAAAATTAAATACTTGAGTTTCATCTGAGGGTGCTTTGTGGCTTAAATCTGAGGAGCAGTACCCTTCTGAATCATTACTTTCTGACTGTAGAGAGAGATAAAGGCTAAGTTTGTACAACGTGCTGGGTTAGGCTAAAAAGGGATCAAGTGGTTTATAATTCCAAATGGTAGGAACCCAGCCCTGGTTTGAGTGAGTTGTGTGGGCTAAGCTGCCTCATTAAGCCATGGTTTATTGGGTATAACATGTTCCCTACAAACACAGGCACTGCGCTTTGTGAATCTGGCTTTGGCATTAGTCCATTGGGTGAATCCAGCCTTGTTTTAGCAAGAACCCAAACTCCCAAGCTCCAGATTTCCCCTTTCTTCCCGGGCGCCAAGGGTCATTTTGGAAATAGGTTGTGATGGTGACTTCATTGAATCTCATCCTGGCAGCTGATCAAGATCTGGGTTCAAAAACTCTGGAGATGCGTCGGGACACGAAGAACGGCCGAAGGAGATGGAAACCTCTCCAGCCCGGAGGAGAACAACTGCTACTCAATAAAGTAAGTCATCCTGAGTTTCTCTAACTGCCTCTGCTCTGCTCTGCTCTAGGAGGTGTGTAAAATCCATCTCCATTGCCGCTTTGTCAGCTTTGGTATCATTGCCATTGTCCTTATCCATTAGACTAAGATATGTTACGGCAAAGTAAAAAATGCCACTTTAACCACTCCATTTGGGCTGGAGGTTGATCAGAGAGTTAAAATCACCTTCCTTTCCATAGAGCTCTTGGGGAAAAAAAAGCCTGGGCAATTTTCCAGTTGTCTGCAGCTTTGATTCCCTTTTTTCTTGGTCTTTGCGGAGAGGCTACTGAAATAACCTGAGCAACGTGCTGGTGCAATTTATTCTTCTCAAAATGGCTTCCAATTTGCCACACAATTGTTTCCCTCTCAGGTGAATTTGGACTGGCTGTGGAGACATACAGCGCCTTAGGATTGCTTTCCTGCAGCCACAGACCCAAGTTAGGAAAACGAAGACAATTTGCCAAGAGTGTTCAACCAAGGTCCGAACTAAAGATCTGATCTGTATACTGTGTACATGTATAAAACCAAAACCCAGATTAAAATCTTATTTGTGTTAGACATACACATATACACACATGTATATATACATACATACATGTTAAGGACAAACTAGATGTAGAGGGCTTAGGGAATGGCTTTGAAGGACAGGAGGAAGAGCCGCTACCAGGGCAATGGTCAGATAAGAGGGGCCTGAGCTCAGGGCAAGAAAGTAATGTGAGTAAATGTCTCAGACAAGCCCCTCCCTAGTTCACACAAAGATAAAGGGAGGGAGAAGGAAGCATATTCAGACTTGCAAGTTCTAATGCTATAGCTGTTCCAATAAAAGTAGTTTTAGACTTACATGGCATTGGTTTCTTGGTCTGGTCAACCTTATTGGGCTGACACTAAGATAGTATTTGGATTTGGCCAGTTTGGACCATGCATATATTTTATTTTGTCTAGGCCAACTTTCTCCACTTGGGTGCCTTCTAGAGGTCTTCTCTGTGCTCCAAATTGATCCTCCAGGGACTTTCTGTTTGCTCCAGAGATCCTCCCTATGTTCTAGAACTGTGCTCTGAAGACTTCTCTATGTTCCGGATTTGTATTTCAAATCTGTGCTCCAGAGGTCTTCTCCGTATTCCACGTCAGTGCCTCCAGGGACTGATTGGAATTGTACTTCAAAACATCTGGAGGGCACCAGGTTAAGAAGGCAGATCTGACCAATGGAAGCCAAGACATGTAATGGTCTGTAACAGTTTATTTATATGGAATAAACTCCTAAAAAGGCCTCCTAAAAAGTCTTGACTTGGGGTGGGTGGGTCAAAACAGGCATAAAGATTGGATCCTAGATTGGGGGGCAGCCAGACTATTAGGAGTAGTAGATGTGCAGTCAGGATATGGGGCCGCAGCTGGTCGGCTCTGGATCCATACACAATGTTGTGAGACAGGAGCTGGGGCCAAACAGTCACTGAAAGGCAAGCCTTAAAATCAAGCTTTCCACCACCTATCCTGACCACCAAAAGCCAAATCACCTGCCTAAAAACAAAATCTATAAATGCTCAGGTAAAGTAGTACCTTACATAAACTCCCAATACTCAGAAAAGCACAGACTTCATTTCCCTCTTCTTGCGGGACTTCGTTTAAAGCAGTTTTATCAAGCCATTGTGCTCACAAAAAGCCGATGGCTGATCCAATTTGTCTACTTGCCCCATCCTCTTCTTGCCTAAAATTTCCTCAGCCCCCCACCCCAAAAGCCAGAGGCTGCTTCGGGGGAGGAAGGGAAGAGAGTGGGGTACCTAGATACCCATGCTGCACTTCTCAGCTCTGCTGTCCTATGCTTTAACACTATATTCAGTGACAGGCACAGAGGGTGTGTGCTAGATCCCAAAAAAAGAGGCCTCAAAGTTGAAGGACTTAATTTTAAAAACAAAATTATGACAACAGCAACAGCAAAACCCACAAAAGGAAACAATTCTTTGCAAGTCACTATTTGGATCATATCAGCGTTAAGCCCCTTCATCTCTTTTCAAACCAGATGCATGAAGCCTGCAGAATTTGGACTCTCACGTAAAGACCTTGATTCCTAACTTTTAAGCATTGTGCAATTGTGTATTCTGGGTGCCTTTGTTCACACCTGGGAGGTCAGCAAGATCGGGGTGCTGCCCTCTTGACAGCTTGACTTTTCAGGGAGATACTGTACGTTCATTTCCTGGAAATTAAATATTTGCTTGGTTGTATGTTTCTACCTGTAGACAGGCTTCCTTTGGATTAGCTTTGTTTTCTGGGGAAGAGAGAGAGGGGGGAAAAACAGGTTGCAAAAAATGCCCACTTTAATTGCCCCTTTCTTCTTCCTTGATTTCACTGTCTGAAAGATAATCCAGAGGAAAGGGACTCATTTATTAGGGAAGAGAAAGAAAAGGAAGGCCAACTTCCACTGGAGTTGGATTAAACCAGGGCCTGTCTTGCAGTGGAACTGCTCCCGAGAGAATGCTTTATTTATTGATTAGAAGTAGGACGTGCAAATATTCAGCTGGAATATTCAGTTTGGCAATGTGGTTGAGTCCTCCCTTGGGGTCAATTGTGTTGACTTGCCACCTTTGAGTCCATTAGGAAAGATCTGGAGCCAAATCAATGAATCAGGGTCTGCTTGAAGGCAAACATCATTTTCCCGAATGGATTTGGATGGATGGATTTGGAAGTCCGAGTAACTTGGCTTTCCAAGTTGAATCAAGATGGATGCACATCGCTGTGTAACACGTAGATACCGCAGGATGCAAAATTAATACCACACTTCAGGCAAAACACAGATTTGGTCATTAAAACACAGAGGCATGCAGAAAAAAGGAAAAAAATGAATTTGTGATTTATGGGTTTCATGGTTAGAAAGGGTAGATTGACTATGGAAAGAAGGAAATTATGCTGTAACCTTAGAGAGAGAGGGTAAAATATAAATATACTTGTAACTGCTATCAAGAAGACTAGAAACTACTTCTTTATAACTTTTCCCTTCCCTTCCCTTCCCTTCCCTTCCCTTCCCTTCCCCTCCCCTCCCCTCCCCCCCCC